AAGGAAAGGAAAGGAAAGGAAAGGAAAGGAAAGGAAAGGAAAGGAAAGGAAAGGAAAGGAAAGGAAAGGAAAAGATTCACTGATATATAATGTAGTGAGAAGAAAATAATATGCAGGTGCAAGGAGGTTCAAAGAAACATTCTGCCTTCAGGCCTCTCAAAAATTTAAGTGCTGGGCATTTCCAAGATATTAGAGTATGAATATATGCCCAAGAAAACTAAGCAATGACATCTGTGGTACTGTAATTTTATTTACCCAGATATGCATGTAAGTATAGATATCTCTAAGAAATTGCTACTATAAATGATGAGGAATTAAAGGATTAGATCTGGGGATAATGTATCTCACAAAAAATAAATGGTCTTTTCTCAAGATGCTGCCAGAAACCAAGTAGTTTTCTGTTAACCATCCAAAGCAGACTTTCTGTGGCCTACCAGGATTAGCCATTATTATTCAGAAACAGTCATACACTTGGATTTTGCCTGAAACATTAACAGTAAAACCAATCTGGAATGGGAGGCAAGGCAGTATTTGATGGTGAGGACCTGAATGCAAAGCGCCCACTTCTTGTTCCAAGATTACATCTGTCCAGTAGTTCTTGTTTTCCAAGAAACAAATTGGAAACAGATTTTCCCTGTCTTTCAGCCGGGGAATATAGCACAGTATCAACACAAGAAGGGTAAGCTTGGCAGCTTTAATGTGAAAAAATGTCAGACACCCAAGGTCAGCTGGCTTGCTTTCCTATCCTCCTTCCGGAAACTGGGAATCTAATCCCCTGAATTCCAGCATCACAATTTAGAGGTGGTATGTATCTCTTTCCCTTCTCCCTGGCAACATATCGAGTCCAAAACTACATCCTTGAACCAAATGTCTGCTAGAATAAAACATGGTTCTTATTTAAGCTGCTGGATGGCTTTTAAAGTTCCTGCCTTAATATTATTGACGTTTGTGGTGTCTCCTATATTTAATCTAATCCAGTCTATTAACTGCCCTGAATTTAATTCAAAGAAAAAAGAAATGTGGTCCTGTGGTTGCCAATTGGAACTTGAATAACAGTCTTACATGTTGATAATAACCTTTTGTTGCCCCTAGTCTCTCTCACTTTGCATAATTTTTGTGTGATTTGTTAATCACAGGAAGGGTAGAAAATATAAGAATGTTCCAAGAGCTTCCCCTTCTCTTAAGCCTTATTTCTCTCCATCTATAACTTCAGATAATAAGCACCTGAATGTCCTTTAAAGCACATTAAAAAAAAAAAAGAATGAGGGCTATAAACTTTTTTTCTAAATATAAAAATAGAAATCACATTAAGACATTTCTTCATTAAATGCAGACATTGTGTTTGCCTCTCAAATATAACCCCTACCTAACACACCACAAGCAGTGTCCATGTGTGGGTGCTGGAGAGACGATCGTTTGTAGATCACATGGGGACTTCCTTCGCTTCCTTGTTCCCCACTGATATTGACCCCGAGTGTCAGTGGTTCAATAAAATACTCATCATCTTCTGCAATTATCACACCATGCTGGAACAAAGAGAGGCAGGAAACTGCAAGTTTGCATTCAATAAAAAGAACAGCAATTAATAGGTATGGTCTGGTTCTCCCACTTTCTTTAAGTGGGATGATGTTCCAGAGGCAGACTAGGTTAATTTATTTTTTAGATCTACATCTTGCCTGCCATTTGGGAGCTCAGGGCAGGATATGTACTTATGTAGCACTCCCTCATCCCATCTCCCCCATAACAACAATCCTGTGAAATAGGTTGGGGACAGAGTGTGACTGTCCAAGGTCACCAAATGAGCTTCCACAGCAGAGAGTGGACTTGAACCTGTTGTCACTGTGCCAGTCCAGCACCTTCAACACTACTGAGAGCCAGTTTGGTCTAGTGCAGTGTTTCTCAAACTTAGTAACTCTAAGATGTGTGGATGTCAACTCCCAGAATTCCCCAGCCAGCCACCTCTGGGAGTTGAAGTCCACATATCTTAGAGTTCCAAGGTTGAGAAACACTGGTCTAGCAGTGAAGGCACCAGGCTAGAAAACACAGACTGTCAGTTGTAGTCCTCCCTTAGGCATGAAAGCCAGCTGGGTGACTTTGGGCCAGTCACTCTCAATCAGCCCCACTCACCTCAAAGGGTTGTTGTTATGGGGAAAATAGGAGGAGAAAGGAGTATTAGATATGTTTGCTGCCTTAAGTTATTTATAAAAATAATAAAGGTGGGATAAAAAAAATCTTTAAAAATTAAAAAAAAAACCCTGCTGCCAAGACAGGAAATAGCAGTTGAGAAGGCAAAAATCTGCAGAGAGAAAAGGATCATGGATTGTATGCCAGATATGTTGGGAGGGAATTAGATCAGTGAGGTCCTGCAACCAAGATAGATTTCACAGTTGTAACCTGATTTTGCTGGGGGGGGGGGGAGTATCATAAGAAAAGCCTCTGAAAAGGCCTAAAGACCTAGACAAATACATAAGCAAGGTCCCGTTCTTTAAGAATAACACCCTGCATTAAGCATACCTTTTTTAAGGGTTAGTTCAAAGTATGAACCACTTTCTTTCCAGTAAAAAAACAACTGAGGCAATGTGGGTTTTCCCATGGGGGAGTATGATTAAATTCTTTCTTCTCACATAAACATCTACAATCTCCAACTCTGATGGCTGTTTGCAAACCACACCAGTATGGCAGGAAATAGCAGCTGGGAAGGCAAAAAGTTTGTTGGGAGAAAAAGTTCAAAGGTAAAGCTACCAGATTCCTGCTGCAAAAATCCAGCGGATCACCAGGTGACAGCAAAGAGTCAGTTTTCTACATCTCTGCTGCCATCTGGCTGCAGTCCATACTTTCGTGGCCAGATCTGGTAATCTCCAGTCAAATCTCCTTCCTCATTTACTGCAGGCTGCAACTAAACTGGGATTTGGCCAGCTGCTGTTCCTGGAAGAAAGGGGGCATTGCTAATGGAGCTCTGAAGTGCTACAGGTCCTGTTCCCACCACACATCTAACACATTCAGCTGCTACCCCAATCAAAGCTCCTTCCAAATAGAATTACCAGATATTTGAATAAGCAAAGGAGGACATGGACAATTTGAAAGGACGACAAATAGGAGGCAAGGATGACACATTACAGTAACTGTTTAACTTTCTTGGCAACCGTGACAAAAATTTCAGCAAAAAACTGCAAAACAATGTACTTAGGCCAACACGTATTTGATATTATTTTTTCCAGTCTCAGAAAGGTTTTTTTTCCTGGTTTTTCAATTGCATTAAGCATACGTTTTTTCAAAGGATAATTCCAAGTATGAGCCATTTTCTTTCCAGTAAAAAAGTGACAGGCTAGTCACTTTTTGTCCATCCCCATGAACACCCATGTAACTGATATTGCTAAATACATTAGCCAACACCACAAGGAGTTAAAAGAACAAATGTCCCATGATGCCGATACAAGTATTGGTGACATCCCAGTGTATCTGGAGAGATTGTTCCAAAATAGAGCATTCAACAGAAATGCCACCCCTGCCAGTCATTCCATCTTATAATGAAATTTGGCTTTATTCAAGTAGGGCATCTATTGGTGATTTTACCAAATTGGTAGTTTTGTAATGAAGCAGGAACTTCTTCAGATCCCATGACATCAGCCACACCAAGCTCTATAAATCTAAAATAGTATTTTTATTTGTTCCTTAAAGCAACCTGCAAACTGCTTTTAGTCTTCCGAGTCAGGTGAGACACATATGGTACCAGGTGAGCAGATCTTTTTGAAAACCTAGTCTATACAGACTAAGAAATTGTTGCATAAAATAGATCTGGTGACTGACATTGGCTGGAGAAAGCAAGATGCTTGCAAAGGAACCTACTTTCCAACAGTGCATATAATCATTTCTGGACAATACTTCTGATAAGCTATTGCCTTTATTTAGATATTTGTATGTTTGTTTTGTTTTATATACTGCCACAGTTTAGGCAACTCCCTGTAGTTTGCAATAAAACAATATATGTAAAACATAAAACAAGAAAACCCAAACTGACATCCACAGTTACTATCAAGAGCTCTTATATATCAAAGGCTCTTCCCTATTCCTTTTCTCTTCCATATATCTGTAGCTCCTGTTTAACTCGAGATAATTGTACAACTAAAAAAGAAGTATAAGAGAATAGCAGCGGAGTTTTTTTCCTTCTAAAAACAGTTCTTAAGAAATCTAGCAAATTTAAATATTGGTTGATCTTTTGACACTCCCAGCTTCTACCATCCTCACCACAGTAAGCCTGAATCACTCTTGTGTGCCTGCAGCTAAGCATTCTTCAACTTCAGCAGCCTACAAGGGGGTGGTGATGGGCCAGCCGTGGTTTCTCGCTTCCTATGAAAGCTTTGTAGCTCTTGGCCAGAGGCCATCCTTCCAAACACAAGTGAGGTAGTGTGAGGATAGTCTGGCGGGAAGTTGCCAGAAACTCAAGGATCAGTCGATGAAGGCAGCTGGGAAGAAGGAAGAAAGCTCTTGGCGTCAAACAAAGCAGTTGGGGTATGTGTTTGTTGTACAGAGGAGGGATATGTAAAGAACACAGGCTCCGAGGGACGCTTATAAAATTCTCTCCAAATTACCTGGCCTCATTTCCGAAATAGAACCACTGCATTAGGAATTTAAACAAATGGGTGGGATTTGGCAATAAAATACGTTTCAGCTAAACATGAGAAGAAACTTCCTAATGGTAGAAGCTGTTTGGCAATGAAGCTGTTTGAGAAATATTTAAACAAGGACTCGGCATTGCTTTGGTGGTGCAGCTGCAATTGGGCAGCCTGCAGTAATCGAGGAAGGAGATCTCACTACTGTTACCAGATCTAGGCAGCAAAAATATGGATTGTGGCCAGATGGCAACAAAGAGATGTAGAAAACTGACTCTTTGCTGTCATCCGGTGATCTGCTGGATTTTTGCAGCAGGAATCTGGTTACTTTACCTTTGACCCTTTTCTCCCAGCAAAGTTTTTGCCTTCCTAGTTGCTATTTACTGCCATAGTGGTGTGTTTGCAAATAGCCATCACAGTTGCAGGTTGTTTGTAAGAAGAAAGAATTTAATCACACTCCCCACATGGGAAAACCACTAGCCTGTCATTTTTTTACTGGAAAGAAAGTGGCTCATACTTGGAACTATCCTTTTCAAAAATGTATGCTTAATGCAGGGTGCTATTCTCAAAGAACAGGACCTGCTTGTGTACCTGTCCACGTTCTTAGGCCTTTTCAGAGGCTTTCCTTATGATACTCTCCCCCGTCCCCGAAGCAAAATGAAGTTACTAAGGAGAGGGCCATTTCGGTTGCAGGGCCTCATTGATGCTATGGCCTCTTGATATTTGTGGTGTACAATCCATGTATTTTCAGTGCCAGGCATTCCTTTTCTCCTAGGCGTTATTGCAGTTTTGGATTTAATTTGATTTGAAGACTGTGCCCAAACCTGAAATAAAGGATTTCATAAATGGTCTGTGCTAATTATTGTGTTCTATTGTTTTTGTTTTTTGAAAAATTTAAAGTTTAATTAGAAAGTTAAGAAGATTTGAAATTACATTTCAGAAGCTGTCTTTCTTCTTAAAATGAGTATGTTTCCTGTTCCCTCCCCAATCTTTTCCTGCAAGAGTTTTGAGAGTACGTATCTACTGCAGACTACTGTTCAGTTGAAATACCCTTCTAACAAATTAGATCACCAGTCCACTGAACCCAGTACATTCTATTCCAGTTGGCAATACAGTCTACCCAAAAGGTGCACCAACCATATTTCCCTATTTCTCAGTGCTTCCCGAAATCCTGTCTTCTTTCCCAGTCTTACTTTCGGAAGCTTTGTGCCTACAAAACAGATGTATCATCACAATGTTTCCCTAAATAGACAATCCTGAAAAGCTGCTTTGTTCCAAGTCTAGCTGTAGCAGTTCTTTCCTTACTGTGAAAGAATCCCTGATGGGCAGAAAGGACTATCAAAACAATAATTTCTAACCAACAAAATAAATGTTATTGATCATAGTATTTTGAGGTACATAACCTGTACCCCTGTTGGGCCTTGAAAAGTCTTCCAAAAGCTGTCTTCCTAAAGCTGAGTTGTAATTTGAGTTGTAATTTCCCTTCTGAATTGCAGAAGGAGAAAATTAAGTGCAGAGAGAATGACTCTAATTAAAGTGCACTGAATTAACTTTAATCAATTTAGTGCAACTTTAATCAAATTTAAATAAGCATTCAATTTGATTGAATGTCATCTTTGTCCCAGTTTTCCTCGCTTCTTTGTTTTTGCCCACCTAGTTTTAGGAATGCAGCCTTCTGCATGCACCCAAATGCCAAATCTACTATTCGTATTGACAGTGTTGGTGCCCTCTTGTTATATGTGAGATGATGCTCAGCACTTAATTTGAAACCTCCTGTGTTCAGTGCTTGTGCCAAAATACTTATTAACAGAGATCCATAACCCTGATAGAAGTCTGTCTTACACATGCTGCTGCCCGGTGCTATTTCAACTGGAGGTACCAATGGCTTTTTGAATACAGAGACTTTGAGAGCTGACTGAGGCAAAAGCAAAATGATACTCTATGGAGCAATCTTCCTGACATTCTCTGCAGGGGTGTAATGTAAATTTTCTTTCTTCCCCAAATAACTTTTATTCCAGCCAAACACTACCTTGGGTAGCCTTCTATCCTCAGACCACCTCTGATTATTTATGACCTTAAAGATCATCAAACTCAAATATTCAAGCTATTTCCTTTTGGACTTCTGAAAGATAGAAGATTGTTTAGTGCTTGAGAAATGTTTACCTAACCTTTACCTATCTCAGGCTCGAGAAATGTTTACCTAACCCATTTCATTAGGAGAAAAAGTTTCCCTTCAAAAAGAAAAATAGAGTGTGTAGACCTTCCCTGGATAACTTCCTCTGCCATCCAATTAGAAAATGTTTCCCTGTTATTCAAAAATGAGTCTGTACTTTAATTCAAGGAGGAAAATACGAGAGGCAGAGGGAAACTATACATGTCTATTGGAATGGAACAGCGTTCGGACTGGCTCCTGTGTCACATAAAATGAACATGCCGCTATGTATCTTGGACTTCATATTTCTGTTTCAGTTTAGCTTATCCTGGAAATAATTCCTAGAGGTAAGAACAAAAGGAAAACCTTGGTGTATCAGATCAAGATTGCTTACTCCAGCATCCTGTTGTGGTCAGCTAGCTTCTTTTCAGGTATTATTATGGTTGGCCACATAGTCAGACAGATGTTTGGACTGGATTTGGCATTTTTATCCACCTATCAAGTCCTTCCCAAGGACCTGGGATAGACAGATGTTGTTTGATGATTTATGATTATTATTACAATATTTGTATTCTGCCTATACACACACACACAGAGTATATCAAGATGGTGAACATACCTAATGAAATTAATTAATTAAAGTAGCTGATTAAAAAAATGGGCAGGGTTTTACTTTTAGCATCTGCTAGACTGCTGTTATACATAGAAGTTCTATTTAGGCATCACAGTAACATAAAATAGGTATCTGCTGGAGCAGATCCACGTTTCATCTAATCCGAACTACTCTCTGACAGTAATTAGTTATATTTCTCTAAGAAATCCAAACAAAGCCAAACCATTTTTTTAGAGATGCTTCCAAAATTATCCATATTTACAACTTTTAGAATTCCAAATCACTTGGTCTTATTCCCCATGCAAATCTTCCACTATCCCACTTTTTACTATGTATTTGTAGTAAATTCCAAGGCTGGCTTCTGTGCCCAGAGGGAGTCACCTGACCTCTGACAGCCAATAGAAGAAAAGAAGGGGATTCTGTCAGGTTTTGGCGGGAAGAGTTTGGGTGTCTTTTTTAGTTGCCTGGAGACCTGAAGAAGCGGGTTACCTCAGGTAAAGGTGAAAGTTATTTAGCTATACAGGCAGTCCCCGGGTTAAGAACATCCAGCTTAAGGACAATTCATACTTATGAACGGGCTGCCTGTGACTAAAAATGGCAGATGGCATTCTCCTTCCTTGAGCCAACAAACCGCTGAAGCCGCACAATGTGTTTACGAACTGCTGAAGCCTCACGTTTTTAATATACAGCCTGTCTGCAGTGAAAATTAAAACACAAAAATTTGGAGTGTCGGCTTATCCACGGGTGGCACATTTTTCATGGTGTTTTGGTTAAAGATCTGAGGGTTGGCTTGTTTGTAGTTGGGCTTATCTGAGTGTATATATGGTATTCTACTTTGCCATGGATGTTTTAATTGTTGATTTATGATTGTTAGCTGCTGGGAATCTCTAGCAAATTCAGCAGTATACAAGTGGAATCTACGAATCAATTATTCCATCTTTAATTGTACGGAGGACTGTACATATATAATCCCACCCCAATAGTTGATCTCATGGTGGTGGGATACAGATCCCACTTCTGGGGGATAATGTGATTCCACATTATCTGCTTCTGATAATGTGATTCCAGGCAAATCACATAAATTCATCCAAAAGCTTCCATTAAAGAATTACTACTGTGATTCCAGGCAATTCTTCTGAAATGGTCTTCATCTGAATTTATCTTCTGATTTATTTATTTATTTATTAGATTATATCCACCTCCGTGCCTATGGAAGGACTAGTTCACAGTCTCCCTGTTTCTAGTCCAGTACCTTAACTACTAAACCAGACTGGCTCTGATATCGCTGATAAAGCTTAAGGTTACTCTGCCTTGTTGGTTTACTTATCCCACATTTTGTTCTGCTGTTCAGTCATTTCACTTTAATGGAATTAATCAATTCCAGTATTGCAGCATATGCAGTATACCACAGTTTTCAAATTCTTCAGTTCATTGTTACATATACAATGTTCTTCATTATTAAAATACAGACTTATCTTGATTTACGCACTTCAAAACAGCAGCAACATTGTTTAATGGAAGCTTTTGGATGACTTTATGAATATTCTTTTTGCAGTGTTATCCTGAGACAATACTGCACTTTGTTAAATACTGATACAACTTATGTGCAACAAGAATCAAGACAACCTTTTCTTAGCAGATGCATTTTGGAAGTCAAGGATAAGAAGACATGCATGCTATGTAATCATTTTAATTTATTTCTCAGCTTTGGTGACTTAGAATAGTAAGCAGATTGGATTAGACTAAAGGAAGTCAAAACTGTGGCATAGTCCAAAAGTTCAGGAATTGCACAATTTAGTAATTATGCAAATCCATGTTGAAATGATGTTGTATTTCTAAATCACTAAATCCCAGTTTGGAACTCACCAAATATAAAGAAATGCCAGTTGGGTTCCTGGTATTCTCTGAGCTTGGTTGTTTTCCTGCAGACATTTCATTGCCAGGCTAGGTAACATCATCCATGTATGGGAAAATGAAGTTTGTTAGTTGTTTATATATAGTAGCTTGCTTTCCTATGCACAGATAATATTAACTAGCTTGGTAATGAAACATCTGCAGGAAAACAACCAAGCTCAGAGAACACCAAGAAAAGTTTAAGTGTTCAACAATTCAACCCTGAGCTACATATCTTCTCTACTACTAGAAATACCATAAAGTGAATTTCCCAAAGACTCATATCTCTGTTTCGGATCACATAACTTAGGGGACAGACCAGCTTTTTCTGCCATGATGCCCACCCTCTGGAATATAATCTCCTTCGAAATCAAACTTGCCCTGACCCTGGGGGCCTTTCACAAGATTCTAAAAACCTGATTTTACCATGAAGCTTTGGGCCCTGATATTATGGGTAAGCCCATTTCATTTTTAGTTTGAGTATTTATTAGTATTCTTGGCTGTTATTTTTATGCTATTTCTGTTGCTTTTAATTGTGGTTGCTTTTACTGTTTTTACTGTGTTTTAATTGTTAGGTGCCTAGAGTCATGCCTATGAGATGGGTGGCCATATAAATTCATTAAATAAATAAATCTCTGCTACAGTTTAGAATTGGTACAAAAGAAGCATCAGATTGTATGCATAAAGATGCATAAAACACACCCTAAAGGAAATGGAAAGATTGTTACTGGCTTTTGAGTAGGCATTTTACTTTTCTTGCATCTCAAACCTTGCATGTATGCCAAAATGGAACTCCAGTTGCTCAAAATGATGGAATCTTCCAGCAAATCTTTATGTTTTAACAGTCCCACCAGAGTTAGGAAGAAAACAAGACACTTACCAGACCATTACAATTACTGATAGCAACTTTTGAGTTCAGGTACTCATCTTGTAAATGGCCAGCATAGTGGCAATCTTCATGGAATTCATGTTGGTAGTCTATTCCACCTCTTTTCCAGTACTCCACTCGGAAGTGCCTTGCCAGCAAGTTGGTGTGCAATGTCAGGTTGAGGAGGAATTGGGTCCGGTGGGCAGAGACCTTGTAGAAAACATGCTGTTCAGGCATGTCATAGGAAGGGTGGCCTGTACTCCGACGAGACCTCCATTTCCGATGGCTTTTTATATCAAAACTGAGGAAGTCACCATTCTGATCCACCTGGATGGGGAAGGCAATCTCGTAGTGGTCGAGGTTGGAGAGAAATTCTTCTGTGAGGGCAGAAGGGGACAGGCAAGCGTAACTGAGGAGGATGGTCTGCCCAAAGGGCCCTTAGATCAGCGATTTTTAACCTGTTAGTGCCATGGACCCCTTTGAGAATTTGGTAAAACCTATGTACCCCATCTCAGAAAACATGTGTTTAGATGTGTAAAATAAAATACATAGTTATACATTCGATCTCAAAGAAGACCAATTAGGCTCAAATTGAGTTTTCAAAAATATTTTAAAATAACAAATATGTAATATAGTAATGTATGTGCTTCTTTATTAATCCATTAGATCAATAACAAGACAATAAATACATTTAAAAGATGGGCAAGTTAGTGAAAATAAAGTTGTAATTTTTCCCCATTCAAGTTTATGGACCCCCTGAAATCCATCTTAAACCTAGGTTAAGGACCTCTGATTTAGATAATTTCATAAATCTAGAAGTTTATTCTGTTATATCCCACTTGTCCTTAATGCAGTCAAATTAAGATAGTTATCTAAAATTTAATTATAACTGGAGGAATTGGGATCTATGCAAACTTAGTTTATCATCATCTTTTCCCTCACAGTATTATCAAAGCCCCCAGTTGCACTAATAAAATTATACACTTCCCTCTTCCCCACAAAGAGTCCTAGGTTGGTTTGTTTATATGACTTAGGACCTAACTGAAATGGCTTTCTTATGCTTTGATTACCTGCTTTTTTTTACCTTCAAACTAGATTCCTGTAATGCACTGGGGGGGGGGGTGCTATTTATATGCTGCTTAATCCCCCCCCAAAAGGCTCTGAGCAGCTTAAAATAATACAAAAGTAAAATAGAGAATAGTAAAAGAAAAGAAAAAATAATAATAACCAACCCCCGAAACCAAAAGCAAAGATCACCTACTGCAGGGAAAGGGTCTGGAGACTTCAGATGCTAAAGAATGAAATCATGTAATAATGCCTAATTTAGTTAATGAATTAAACAACTTTTCTGAGTTGACTAAAAAAACCATAAAATAAGCAAATGGGCTGTGTGCACACTATATAAAAAAGTCCTCCAAGTTTTGCTCAGCTCCTACTAACTTCATGGAGGCTTCAATTTCTTGCAAAAATACAGAAGTAGTTTGCTACTGTCTTCTGGGATTTTTTTTTTTCACTTGTCAATCTTGATCTGGTATTTCATTGTGGTTGCCCATCCAAACACTAAGGAAATTCTGTCTTCACTTTTTGTGAGCAGCCATGATTGGCCAGCTACTGCTGCAACATTCTGAGCCACAAAAATATAACCAGGTTAAAACTAACCAAGTTTATTATATTGTCTGAAAGCAGCTACTAGATCTTTAATTGACCTGTTATGAAGTATGCTGGTTGAATCCAAGCATGCTGGGTAAACTCATCCAGCATGGTGGCAAGAATGCATCTAGGATTACAGATCATAGTATCCCTATCCTGTGACAGCTATATGTTAGCTGCAGGAACATGGATGTAATTGTACATGAGAAAGACCCTGAGAGACAGGGCAAAGAGATGCTGCCTAGGGAATGGTCAGAAAAGAGAGGGCATAAGCCGCAGCTGGATAATGGGCAGAGAAAGAGGCTCAGAACGGGCCCTCCCTAGTTCTCAGGCTGTAAAGGAAACAGTGAGAGATTTGTACTTTCAGACTTGCAAATTCTGTTAATATAGCCATACAATATAGTAGAATTAGCTCATCTGGTTGTGTTTCCTGTCTGGTCTACCTGGGAAGGCTAACAGTGGCACATTACCTGCAAATAATAATGACAGTAAACAGTTTTGTACATGTTGGCCAGTATGCTACAAGTTTTACCCCAAGCATGCTTGTACTATTTACCCCAAGCATGCTTGTACTAAGGTAGGATTTTTAATCTAGAGATATCTTGCAAGCCAATGTATTGTTATCTGTATCCTATCAACTGGGAGGTGTATGGAGTATACTGAAACACACTCAGGATGCCAGGCAGGGAGTGTGCAGAACAGATATGTGCTCTACAGTAGGTCATTGAGAAATATATGAATGTGAGAAGCTTTGATTATGTGCCATCAAGTCAGTGTTGACTCTTAGTGACTATATACAGTATATAGATTTTCTCCAGGACATTCTGTTCCCAACCTGGTCCTTCAGATCTTTCAGTGGTGATGAGAAGGTTTACTGTATGTTTACTGATGTAGAGAAAGTGAATAGGCTTGAATTATGGAATATTTTGCACATAGAGATGGAAGTTGTTGCTGAGTGCCCAGTGATAAAAGTGGTGTATGATGGTAGTAAAGCAGGCATAAGAATAAATGGGCTCTTAGCAAACACTGAGCAGAGAATTAGACAAGGATGTGTGATATCTCCTTGGTTGCTTAATGTATTTATAGGTTAAAGTACAGGTAGTCCTCAGTTAACAACCACTAATTCAGCGACCATTTGAAGTTGCAATGGCACTGAACAAGTGGTACTTATGACCAATGCTTGAAGTTCTGGCTGTCACAGTGCCCTTGCAGTCATGTGATCACGATTTGGGCACTTGGCAACTGGCTCGCACTTATGACAGTTGCAGCGTCCCATGGTCACGTGATCGCCATTTGTGACTTTCCCTGTTGGCTTCCTACAAGCAAAGCCAACGGGGAAGCTGGCAGGGAAGGTCGCAAATCTATCTGGTAAGTCTCCCCAGACTTCCTACGCTTGTGCCTTGCTGTGCCATCCATCCCCCAGCCTTCCTGCACTCACACATGGCCTGCGCTGGTTCTCCCAGGGCTTCCCCTACCCACGGTGGTACCCCTCCACTCCTTACCCACGACTCCCACAGCTTCCCACTTAAGAACCCCTGTGCCTTGAGATTATGATGGCAATTGGGACTGCCAAGATTGTAATTGCTAAGTGATGCAGTCACATGACATCATGCTTTATAATCGCAGCGCTTAGCAACGGCAATCCCGGTAGTCCCAACTGGCGTCATAACCCAAGGTCTACCTGTATAAGGAATGCTTTCATTTATGGTAAAGGTGTCTTGGTAGTGGATATCAATGAATGTTTGCTTTTATACACAATCATGCTGTGCAGTTGGCTGAGAACCCACAAACATTACATAGATTGTGCGATACAAGGAGGATATACATTGGAAAATTAACATGTCAAAGACCATGGTAGTGTATGTGCAGTGGTGTCTGCAGGAGGGACATGTCAAAATTGGCAAGGTGGTAGAGGGAGCCTTGCCTGCAAGCCCTGCCCCTTTTGAACATGTGGGCAATGTCAATGCATGTCCAAAATGAGTGGGCTTGCAACATGATGTTCTGTCCACCATACTTCCATGGGTGCTACTGCAAATTTGACATGGAAAATGGAACGAATTATTGCAAATCTCAAAAACTGGAGAAAGTAAGTGAATTTGTGTATCTTGATAGAATATTTACTGAAGATGGGGAAATAGATGGAGAAGTTTTAAAATGTGCAAATGCTGGTAGAAAGGTAAGGAGTAGTATGTGACTGTTGCAAGGAATGAATATTGAAAGATGTGAAAATGGCTGTCTATAAGAACATAATTCTATCCGCTTGTTATTGTTAATTTATATGGCTGTTCATTTCAAATTCATGACTCTGGGTGGCTAACAATTAAAAACTATATAAAAACATAAAACAATATTTAAAAAACCCATAGAAATACAATCAGCATCTGGGATTTAAAAAAAACAACAAACAACAACAAATTAACACAACTACTGCACAGGCTCTGCCATGCACCTGGATCCCCAAGCCTGATGACAAAATCACTTCTTTAAGGCCTTGCAAAAAGCCAGCAGGGTCAGGACCAATATAATCTCTGGGGGGATGATGTTCCAAAGGCAGGTGCCATGACAAAAAAGGCTCTCCTGAAAGGGAATAACCTGAGGGGTATGTGTGTGTGTGTGCATGTGTGCATGTACATAGAAGCATAACAGTGTTTTATTGTTATCAGATATTTTGTGATAGTGTTTTGTCAATATAGAGGTGTACCCCGATCAAGGGAAAGACTAAAAGGTCCTGATAGATTGTGCAGTGCTTCTCTCTTTGTGCCATATCACTCATATCATATCATATATATCATATCATATCATATCATATCATATCACACCACACATAACTCTAATCCTTTGGAACATTCACCTACCTATTCTAGCAATTATTTTCACAGAATAATGGTGAAACATTGCACTACCAAAAGTAGTCAGTTGGCTGCTGAATGTTAGCAATGTGATCTTTGCAAAAACAAGGCTGAAGGTCCTGTGAGGCAGTGAGCCATATATTATCCACCCTTGGCTTACGGATTAGAAGCGTAAGATTGCAAAGATAATTAATCATGGTATAATGTGCTTTGGGGCACTAATACTGTACCTTGTGACTGGAATGAGTAGCCAGGAAGGTTGCCCGTAGACACGACGGAGACAAGTGTCCAGGTCAAAAAACTCCAGGCTGTTGCCATCATGGGCGGCAGTGCTCTTTATAGTGTCAGCTACGTTGGACCAAGTTGACCGACTCTGCCCCAACATTTCTTTCTTTGAGCCACCACTTATGCTACTGTAAGAGATGTTACAGGTTCCTTCGTGGTCATCCTCAGCCACTCTCTGGAAGGCAGTGAGGATGGAGGGTGTATAAAGTTTGTTGAAGTAGGACCTCTTTCTTCAGCATGTGCCAGTTCTCTGCAGCATTGCACTGGTGGGGGGGACCGGGTGGAGACCACAGTGGCAGAGGGCAGAAGAGGAGAAGGATAGAGTAAAGGGTGAGGGGGAAAACAGGGGATATTAAAATAGCATTTTAGCCTGGCAGAGCTAAGTGAGCCAGAGATGGAAAAACCCAGCTGAAACTTATCTCACTCTTTCATATGTGATTTACTGAGGTTTAGCATGTGTGTAAAGCATAAAATGAAGCATGGTGCTTCAAACTTTTTTTTTTTAGTTCTGGAACAAAACTGGTTACAAAGGCACTAACTGGGCCAATGCTTTAATAGGAAACCATTTTGCAGAAGGACGACAAGAAAGATGCTCAAATTTCTGAACTTCAGTGGCTATTTTCTCTTGAAACCAAAGGAGGAAAGGTGGAGAAGAGAGAGTGAAGACCGAAAAGCAAAAAAGAGATTCAGAGATATTAAATAGATGGTGTGGAGAAAGAAAAATATTGGCAGAGGAGGAAAAGAAAGAGAAGGAAAGAAGGAAAGAACAGATTTGAACAGACTGGATAGAAACAGAAGATTGACAAAATAAATGATGGAAGAGCAAAGCAAAATGGAATAGATTAATGGATTGGAGAAAAAAGGCAGTAAGACAGAAAAAAAGAGAAATTCAGCTGATAGTGTGGATGATGAGAGAAAAGAAAAGAAAAAGGAATAGCAAGAAAGGAATTCAGCCCAGAGCATGTCTGTCTGAAGTCAGCATTTTTCCTTTGTCAGTGTTCCAGGATTTCCCAGCTGAGGCCTGGTTTACCTCAGCCTCATAATTGGCTTGCATTTCAGTGTGTGAAGCAGCTTCCCTTGGGTGCTTATGAATAATTACTTCTCGTTACCCTTCAGCAACTCCTAAAGATTCTCCAGTCCCAGCTGATGGACACCCAGCCCAACGCCTCCCCCCTTCAGCCTTTTACCCACATCCTCCCCAAGCCTCTTGTCCTATTGTATTTTTTCAAGTTGTGTTTTGAATTTCTGCAGATTCAGGAAATAGCTGGATCAGCCTTCCTACTTGGTGTCCTCCAGATGTGTTGGAACATGTACCAAAATTTCCACTCAGTCTATTTGGACTTGTCCTGTGGCATCTGGGAGCACCAGTTGGAGAAGGTTGTCTTAGACAGGGGCTATCATATCTGGGCTACAAAATCACAAACATTAGATGACAGCAGAGAGATAGAGAAAGCTCTCTTTGCTGCCCTCTAATGGATGTCTGAATTTTGGCAACTCAGATATGGTAACTTGTAGATCTTTCTTTCTTTTTTTCCTCCTCCTCCTTCAAACATATTGTTGTCGAGGAGAGGAAGGGAGGGCAACTATTCTTCCTTTCACCACCGGAGCTGGAGAGAGTTTAGCCATTTGGCTCTGTCTCCAGTTTGAAAAGATGTTAATGGAAAGCAGATGAGGATTGATTTTGCCCCAAGGGGTGCCTCTTCGTGCTACAAAGAGAATAAGGACATTTTCTGCAGGATTTCCCATCCTGTGGCTCATGTTTGCAGAATGGAACTTTTGATTTATTTATCATTTTGAAGTTCCAAAGCAGAATGAAGAAAATCCTATGGAACCCCTCCCCTCAATTGCTCCTTTTCTGTATTTTTAGCTGAATTTTCACCTAAATCTTTTCCTTTATGATAGTCAGAAAGTTGGTTAATGAAAATCCACCCACCCTCTACTGCCATCATCACAGCCCCTCCATGGCAGATGTACATGAGAAAAATCTTGGATTAAACTGAGACAATCAGAGTTTACCTCAGCCTGGTACTTTCTATACATTTTTCAGAATTTCAATCCAGTTCCACCTGCTAGATATTTGGAAGGCACTGTGCCCAGACAGATGCATCTGGGAACCCTACAAACAAAACTGGAACTGTACCAGTTCTATTCTACTTGTTCTCCAACAACTGTGACTTGAGATACTGCAAAGTAGAGAAGCAAATAAGTCAGCCATCTGCTATGAACTCACCATTCTTGCTTTAGGCAAGATCTATTTCTCACAATCTCAGCCTCCCCATCTGCAGTGCTACAACTTGGCCATATGTAGAAGGAAGGAAGGAAGGAAGGAAGGAAGGAAGGAAGGAAGGAAGGAAGGAAGGAAGGAAGGAAGGAAGGAAGGAAGGAAGGAAGGAAGGAAGGAAGGAAGGAGATTTGAACAAATGGAAAGAAGGGGGAGAAAGAAAGTAGACTTGAACTGATGGAATATAGCAGCAGAAGAAAAAAAGGCAGGATATAAATCTAACTAATAAAATAATAAATAAATCAAATTTACTGGCTGTCATTCCAGAGGACAAGATTAGAAATGAAGCCATCTGTCCATATTGTTTTCTACCAGTTTTGTTGTTTTCCTTTCCTAAATTAACTCTGTCCCATTTCTGCATTAATTTACATTTTTAATACTCTGCATGACAGATGATATATCTTTTTGTGTGCATTTTTCACATATACAAACACATATACACACATATATATATACACATACAAACACTTGCATGCACATTTTCTAGCATGATTTATCTGATATATAGTAGCTTTGAACATCATTTTCTCAGTTCCATGCTTTTTTGTGCACACTTTCATCTGATACCAGTCTCTTTTTACACTTGTTATTTTTAATCCAAGAACTTCATTGTAAAATTTAGCAATGTGCAAGGGCAGAAATTGTAACTCCACCTTGGTTGGAGTGTTGATCCTGGATGTGCAGATTAGGTACGATCCAGATGAAATTCTTCTCCCTGCTTAGATAGGGCTCAAATCAATGGGTTCAATTAATTAAAACAAAGGAATTTTAGTTACATTTTAAGAAGGATTTATTGATGATACGAGTAGCTCGGTGGAAAAGCCTGCTTTAGAAGGTGGTGGACTTGCCTTCATAGAAAGGTTTAAGCAGAAACAGGTCACCTAGCAGGAAATAATGTATCTTTCAATTTTATGATTCTACTTTTACTTCTGCTATTACATATCTATTAAAGGAGCAGAATGTAAGCAAACCTCCACAAGGCATGAGCTCCCAAACATCTGGATTCTAATCTTGATCCACCTCCAACTTTTTGAACGCTAAACCTCTTTTATTAAGCTCCGTTATTTGCACTTCTAATCCATGAGATGTAAACTCTGGCTTTTCATCTTGACAAATGTTTACTTGGATGATTAAAAGAATATGTTCCAAGGGATTAATTAAATGAGTGGTGGTGGCGGTGGTTGGGAGTTTTATTTTATTTTGGATGGGGGGAAATGCTTTCCAGGATCTAATCTGAGGAACATATGATTTGTAGATGCTGTGCCAGCTGTCCAGCGCTCTTGCAAAATTAGCACCACCATTAACTTGTTTTTCCAGGAGGGGCACTTTGGAAAACCTTTCATCATAAACGAAAACGGAGAGATTGCCATGCAAAAAGAAAAATAAAAAGAGAGGAGAAAGAGATAGACAGAGAAGCGTGCTTTTAGCTGGAGGGCAGGGCAGGGAAGGAAAAGGGAGACATATAATTCCACACCGCCTGACAGGCTGCCACAGAAGACAGGTAATTAAAAGCAGACCAAAAAGAAAAGAAAAGTCAAAGCAAATGTCTTGAGGGAAATAGAATTTGGAACGTCAGCCTTGCAACCAGATGGTTGAGGCTAGGCGTCGATGAAAGGAGCAGCCCATTCTGCTGGCTCACGAGAAACAATGACAGGCCGTTTTCTGCATACGTGTGAAACTTTGGGAACATCTGGCAAGCACTGCCCCCCCCATGCTTCCCCACCCGCCCAGAAGGTGAGGAATCCTGCCCGTTTTCAGGACCTTACCGCTTTCCAACTCCAAGGGAAGTGGGAATCTCAGCTGGAACAACCTTGGCAGCCGTTCTCAGCACCACCAGCCCGACAGCACGGCGGTCCCAATCCTGGTGCGGGTTTTGTGCCTTTCTGGAATGGCAGACTCCAAGGGGCCAGGGCTGGAGAGGGGTGAGGGGGTTGGAGCAGAGAGAGAGAATAATTTTGCTTACCCTTTGTGAAAGTGTGTTGTTTTTTTTCCCTTGGCTGCCTCAAATTCGTTTTTCCTCTTGTCAGAAAGTGCTCCAGACTTGAGGGCAAGGCTTTTCCTAAGCTACAGCTGGAGGAGGTGGGGAAGAAAAGAAAGACAGAGAAAGAAGCAGATTAAAAAAAAAGAAGAAGAAGATGCAGGCAGCTCTCAAGCTAACGGATTACAGTAATTGAGAAAGGCTCCTTTCCAAATGCAAAAGGTCTATGAGAGAGGTTAGGAAGTAGCGTGGAGTGCAATAGGTTGCTTTAAAAAAAAAAAAAGAGGGGATTCTTGCCAGGCTAAATTAAAAAAAAAAAAAGAAATTCAACCACTCTGCCTTTTCACCAAAAATAACTCCTCCTTCTCCACTGACGCCATCTAAAGGCAGGTCTTTTTTGCTGTGATAGGATCAAGTCACCGAGAAAAGAAGGATCAGGACAAGTTACTTCAACTGCCTCTCTAAAGAAAGACTGATTTAAAAAAAAAAAATGGCAACCCTCACAATACTTTAAAATAAAATGCACAGCTAGCTATAAAGCCCAGTATTGCTTAGCCTTTGGAGAACTGGAGCTTATCTGCTATGATAAATCAAAATCCATTTTAAGAAGCTGCAAGATTCTTGGTGCTTCTTTGCTTCAACATACCAACCTGGCCAATCCTGCTAAAACTTTTCCATGAAAAAGTTAAGAGCATTACCAGCAGTCTATTTAGTAGATAGCCACTAAATATTCCCTTTTCCTGCCTTGTTCCCACTTTTCCACAGAGATATTATTTCAGTGTCACCTCTTGTGGCAGTGAGTTCCATCTGCCGCATTATTTGACATGGTAAGTAAATTACAGGAATGGGGGGAGAAATGACTCCCTTCTTTTCCACCAAAGCTGACGTAATTATTCCATAAGGGTGGATAATAAGGGTGTGGTATTTGGCTTAAAATTCACAGAAAAGTTATCACAGAAAAATTAATTGATGGGGGAAGGAAGTTTTACATGGAGAGGAATAAAAGGTGGGTGGGGACTTTTGGCATGATGATCTTCTGATACGAAACCACAGAACTTAGTGACATATTTAGTCTTTTTTTCCGTGGACATTTTCTGTTAAAGTTCCAATTAAAAATAACAATTCATTTGTCAATAGAACTGATAAATCTCTATCTCCCTATCTCTTCAGTGGAGCCTTCAAGTTTAGAGACATGTCTGCAGTTCCTGAACAGGCCTCATATTCATGACCTGATTGTGGGCAGGAACTGGGCTGCTCTTTCTATAGTTTGCACTCAGGTTTTCTTTAATCCCATCCTGCACAATCAAAGGTCACTGATGGTGGGAACTGTATTCCAGCCGCTGGAGAACCACAGATGCCCAATCTAGAAACATCTGCCAAGCCACCGTTAGTTCATAGGCTTTTTGCCTGATCTTGGCAGGCCACACATTCTTCTGTGGATCTATCACAAAGATAAGCAACATGCTGTATCCCCCAATATTTATCTTGGTCTCCTAGGGTCCCTGCCCCACTTTCTTTTTTTTAAATAGAGTTTTTAAAAAGGTAAATAATCAGGAAGTGGCTGGCTGCAAAGCACTAGTGCAGTGTTTCTCAACGGTGGCAACTTTAAGGTGTGTGGACTTCAACTCCCAGAATTCCCCAGCCAGCATGTCTAATATTTGCAGCAGTGAGTTTGAGAGACATGAAAGTCCAACTGAGATAAAAGAGAACATCCTGGTGCATGGGAGCTATTCTGTGAATAGGCAAGTCTCCCATGGCAGCCATTTTGTGAGTGTGCCTATCACATGTTCTGAAACTCCCAATGTACCTCTGGCCCAGCTTCCCTGTGATCTGTGAAAGTTGGGTTGTTCACAGTAGTCACTTGGAGCTTGCATGGGAAAAAGCAACCTATATGATATCTGAATTCCAGATTTTGGAGGGCACAGTGGGCAGCTAGACGATGCCAACTCTTGCCTTTGTGTTTCATTGCTTGGAGTCGTTTGGTGCCTGGCACTGGAGGTAGAATTGCTGGATGATATGTTTGCAGATGAAAATGCTTGCTAGAGGAGGAGAAACTGATGTAAGTTAAAAGGTCAGTAGCCCTAGGATGATTTAGCAATTTTAATGAGGGTTTTTTTGTACACAGTTTCAAAACAGTCCCACCTGTCTATACTGGGATCCATTCTTTTGCGCAGGGAGGGTTAGCATATATGCACAGACACAAATTAGGTTCTTGGAGGATCCAAACATTTCAAACATTTTCAAGAAGGAATAAATTGCAGAGATCTGTAGCATTCAGTCCCCACAAATTAGGGAAGCATACGAAGAATGCAGTGGCGTCCAAGGATGCATGTCAAAAAAGTCAAGATGGTGGTCTTGGCAGTGTAATAGAATCTCTGTTGTTTAGTATGTACATGCAGTGTTAATGCATGTACAAAAAGGGTGGGCCTTCAATAGCACTGCTGTGGCTACCACCTTGACTTTTTTGACCATCCCTGTAGATGCTACTGACTTCTAGAATTTTTCCTAACCCTTTATGAGCAGTAGCTGTAGAGGGATCTGTATTTTCTTCTGTGTAGCAAACTAATGTGTTGTATCTGCATGTGTGTGAATGTGTTTCTGCTTCACCCTCGTGTTACGTTTTTATGTTTGTGTCATGTGACCAGGAGGGAGGGAGTGCCTTAGAATGGAGCAGTTTCAAGTTGCTGCCCCACTGCCTCTCCCATAGGAATGCATTGGAGGGATTTTATCTGGATTTTTTTCTCTGCAGATCCAGCCTGTTTTTTTTCTTCTCTGTAGTCCATAGCCAGATCCAGCCTATTTACAAGCTCTACCTTTCTTTTATCACCTTCTTCTGCCACACTAAATCTGGCCTGTTTTTGTTGGATGAGTTATTCTATTGACGGACATAATTGCTCCCCAGCATTCTGTTGGGTTGAAATGAATAAAAGCAACAGCTCAAGAACCCCTTGAAGTAACAGGATTTTTCCATGCTGGAAATCTAAAAAAAGAGGTGAAAATAAAATTTTTACACCAGTTTGGTTTAAGAACTGGGAGGACAAATTTGGCACAACTTCAGAGAGTAAAACCAAGATCTGAAGAGGCACAATTTTTTAAAGATTTTTTTTGTTTTGTTTTGTCTGAAATGCTCTAAATGTGCTAAATACAATAGGTGCTGGGGGGAAAAACCTCCATGAGGGCTGACAATCTCTACCTGCTACAATGATGCTGTTACTACCTTGGTGGTAGGAGGAATAAAGAACACACAAAGCCTTTGTATCATCCTCTAAGCAAACTTCCTCTAAATCTCCTTTGCTCTTAAAAGAAAAATCACCAGACCCATTAAATTTGCCACCCCTGGACTGGAGGGCAAGGGACAGTTTTAGCTCAGTGAGGATTCATCTAAGTGTAGCTCAGGAAAGGAAACCCATGGGTGTGAGGTTCCGTTTCCTTCGGATGGATATATAAAGAAGGGAGGGTGCTGAGTTCGAATTGCCAGGCCTTGTGCCAAAACTCTGTTCCAGAGACGAGAACCTTCCTGGACCAAAACTCTGGTCTGATTCTGCGGTGGAAAGCTGGGTGCTTTGGTTCAGTGTCTTTTTATGCTTGTGCACTGGAGGAGCCATGCAGTGAGGCCAACACAGCATGAATTGTATGAAAGGAAGGAAACAACTTTTCCCACCCTGCATGGGTGGTGGCCAAGATTCCCGCCCACTCATCAAACTTGCTTTGAACAGTCACTACACATAGCAAGATGGGAACTCAGGCCTCGCCTAACACGGCTGTGCTTCCAAGGGAAAGCAGCTTTTTAATCAAAAGCTGGTTTTGTACTTGCAAATGCTCTTGATTTTGAAATTTGCCAAGAACCACTCCATCTACCATGGTGTGTTGCGCTCAAGGATTCTGGGAAGTATTTTAGGGGGTGCAGGTAGAGACGTGTGTGGCTCAGCTTTGTATATGAATAACCCACCTACCTTGCATTTCTCAGAGTAACACATGAGGCAGAATACCATTATAATTGCTTGCTCTCAGAATCTCCAAATATGGGGCTGCTGTTGTCTAGTTTGAAATAGGCCTGTCAAAAAATGGATTGTGAAGATTTATACATGCAGGAAAACCTGAGCCCAAAAAACTGTAGATTAGAAAGCAATAGAAATTGTTTGCAAACATGCAGGGGCAGATTAAGGCCAATTGATGCCCTAAGCACAGCTCAACAGTGGTGCTCCTAAGCCCTTCCATTGCTTAACTGACAAGCCATTAAGACTCAGTAAGTGCTGAAAACTAACTTGAGTGTGGCACTGAAAGAGTTAAGGGCATGAAAGCTGGGGGGGAACCCTGTGGTGCCCCCCCTTCCCTTGATAGCTTAAGCATGTGCTTATTTTGCTTAATGGTTAATCCAGGGATGCAAATATATATGTAATAAGAGAAAAGTGTACAAAAATAAGCCCAAACTTTTGTGCTGAGGAAAAAGTATATGAATGTTTATGCAAATGGCTAAAAAATATTTGCAGACAGATGCAGAAATGGAATGGAATAAATGTGCACTTGAAAAAAATTGGTGGATTTGCCCTTTCCTAGTTGTATTCTGGGAACTATTCTGGACTCAGAGGTGTCCAAAGGAGGACTAAAAAAGAATCTAGATGATGGCCATGATGTGTGCTTGGACATGGCATTCATAAAAAGGGGTGGGGCTTCAACTGTGTACTTATGGCTGCCATCTTGACTTTTCTGACCTCAGTGGATGCCCCTGAACTAGGGCCCAGCTCATCCTGCTTCCAACACATTCTAACCACTCCACTACCAGTCATTAGGGGTCTGGGCTTGAATTATTAAACTAGGCTAGGGATCTCTGAAATATTTTTACCCTGTTTTGCCTTAAGTTGGGGTGGGTGTCTTTATTATAATTTTTTCCTATTTAAAATAATTTGTGAGTCAGCCAACCTCTCAGAAAAGATTCCCTTCTCAATGTTGGTGCCTTTTATGGAAAATTTGCTGTCACAGATGAGAGTTTCATCTTCCTTAATCAGTTTCCACTCATTACTTAAAGAAGTAAAAACATGTGGCTTTAGGAGAGTACCTGGCAGGGCAGAGGGGAGAGGGATGCTAGATTTTGGTATCTACCACTGTTGGTCAATGCTGTTATAATATATATTGCTGATTATTGTTGTATTGTTTTTAATCCTTAGTTTTTTCTCTGTTTGCTGTTCTGAGGATAGTGTGGCACAGAACTGCTGTTTCATTAGTTTATCTATTTAACTTATTTATCCTATTTATATAGCCACTTATATAGTTACTTACTTAATTT